CCAGCCTCATGCCTTGGGACTATGGGCCCTGGGAGATTGGGCACTTTAAAAACAGCATTTGGGGCTTATGGACTTCTATTGGACTGTGTATGTCCCTTGTTAAACTTAAACCCCATGGCGATTTTTATTCTGTTCGTGGGATCTGAGCGCTGTTCGGATATATTGAGCGCTCAGATCCAAGCTATCTGGGGATAGGTTGAATGTGGGGGTTCTGTTCAGTATGATAAGAATTGTGTATTTATGTGTTTTTACTGTTGTTGTAAATGGAGATATTTTCTGTATGCTGGAGATAATTGGCTTACCACACCCAAGCCATGCTTGCAGTTGGTCAAAAAGGGATTTCCAACTAACTTTTGAACCACTGGACCAATTTGTATGATTTTGACATATGTTTGTATTTGGAGTGTGTTGATTCTGAAAATGTAAGTAATGTAAGTAATGTAAGTTTATGTGAATGTGATGTATACTTTTAAAGTTATGAATATCGTGTAAAATTGTGTATTTTCCTGCCTGTGATAATTACGTTAGCCCATTGTGTTCGGTAATTATATCACAGGCAGAGGGGAGGATTTTGTGTGTAATTGCTGGGAGTGTCTGAGTGTATTGTACGTATTGATTGGTTGTTCTGCAAAACCCTGTGGGCAGTACTATGTGTGTAAAATGTGCGTAAAAGCATGGTGTTGGATTAAAGCTTCAATTCTACTTCATCCTCACTTTTGATTTCTGTCTCTTATTGGGGGAATCTGCTACAAGGGATTGCTATGCTCTGCATATTCCCTTGCTATAATCACTCCTAAGCTCTTTTAAGAGCTTGTTCCTGCTTCGCTCTGAAAGAAGAGAGGTTCAGCCTGCTGTAGTTGTGTCTGCTAGAGTGCTTGGAGGAAGTGCTAAGAGCATCCTTCAACGGAGGTACCCAGTAGGGGTGCCAGGCGATCCGTTACAGTGATAAATAAGGGAACCAGCCGCGGTTACAGTTGGCGCCCAATGTAGGGCATTGTACTTGGAAACTTTAATTATAAAATAATAAATACCTAGGTAACCTCTTATACGTAAGATAA